AGATAGTAGGAAAACAGAAGCCCTTGTGCTTTCATCTGATGGAATGATTTGGAGTGGATGTTCAAATGGCTTACTTGTGCAGTGGGATGGGAATGGAAACCGTTTGCAAGATTTCCATCATCATCCTTGTGCTGTTCTATGCTTATGTGCTCATGGTTCTCGATTATGGGTTGGCTATATAAGTGGTATGGTACAGGTTCTGGACCTTGAAGGGAACTTGGTAGCTAATTGGGTTGCTCATACCGATCCTGTAATAAAAATGGCAATTGGGGGTGATTATGTTTTTAGCTTGGCTAATCACGGAGGTATACGTGGATGGACTCTCGCCACTCCAGGACCTATTGATCACATATTGCAATCAGAAAGAGCACAGAAAAGACATTTATACACCAGACAAGAAAATTTTAAGATTCTGGTTGGCACGTGGAATGTTGCTGAAGGAAAAACCTCACAGGAAGCACTGGCAACTTGGCTGAGTTCTGCCATTTTGGATGTTGAAATTGTAGTAATTGGGTTGCAAGAAGTAGAAATGGGAGCAGGTTTTCTTGCAATGTCTGCAGCAAAAGAAACTGTAAGCTATCAAAGTACACCCCTTACATCTCGTAAAGAAAATGAACCTTGCACCTAACTCAGATAAAAAAAAAAAAAAAAACTAGCTCATGAAGTGATGATTGTCCAACACCATTTATATAAGAAAACTACAGCACATTCCCTCGACGATGTGGAATATTCTATCCCCTGCATGCCAGGGCTAGACATTTGGAGCGTGGACAATATAACTAAGAGTTGAGATGAGTTTAGCTCCAATACTATTGAAAAATAATTAAATAAGAAAAAGATTTGCTCTCTCTAAGTAGGTTCTTAGATGAGATGGTCCCACACTTCAACGAGGTATCTTGACGATTGAGGGATACTTATATTTGGACCCATGGAGATAGTGACACCTTATGCTATCTTGATCTTGTCTACTGTGTACTGTAGGTAGGACTAGAAGGAACATCCAGTGGACAATGGTGGCTGGATGCAATAGGGAAGACTTTGGATGAAGGATCAAGTTTTGAAAGGGTAGGATCAAGGCAACTAGCTGGCTTGCTTATTGCTATCTGGTAAGAACTAATGTGGTTACTTTAATGAGAGATTTTCCATTTTAAGCTGAAATACAAGTTGTACTTCATAAAAAAAACCATGCATCGTAGAACAACATCTTCCTTCCACTGGCTCCTGCCTATTCATACTACTAAAATATTACTTTCATATTACTTTCCTGAACATTATGTAACATTGATCGTTAATCTTAACTTAGGGTGAGAAAAACCCTTCGAGTACATGTGGGGGACCTTGATGTTGCAGCAGTTGCATGTGGTTTAGGACGTGCCATTGGTAATAAGGCAAGTATTTCTTACTGTTAAGAGGTATAACAAAACAATGATCTTGTCATTAGAATTCATCAAGCTATTAAGTGTTCAAATTGGATAAAGAATTTGTTTTCATTTAAGTTGATGTAATGAAGATGATTGAGACAATAAAACAATATATAAGGGCTTCAGCTTCTAATCTATATTATTGTCGTTTTCTTTGAAAAGGGAATGAACTGCCACAATTTCATGGTTGTACAATTATAATGCAGGGTGGAGTCGGTTTGAGGTTAAGAGTATTTGATCGGATTATGTGCTTCGTGAACTGTCACTTTGCAGCACATTTAGAAGCAGTCAATCGCCGCAATGCTGATTTTGACCATATATATAGAACAATGGCTTTCACTCGGTCTTCTAACCTTCTTGACAATGTTACTGGTATGCTGCGATACCTGTTTTTGACTTGCTCTCTTGTCTTCTCCACATATTTACTGTGGCTGCTTTACTCTTCTGGCCTGCCATGGATCCTCTCTCTTGCAGCTGGTGTGTCATCTGCTGCTCAAATGCTTCGTGGTACAGATGTATGACGTGGTATTTGTATTCATCAGTTTCATACTATCTTCTTCTATTGAACTAAAGCTTGACTTCCTCTATCTCAGGCTGCAGCAATTAGTCCCGGGAAGGGAAAGCCTGACCTTGCTGAAGCTGATATGGTGATTTTCTGTGGGGATCTTAATTATCGTCTTTTTGGAATATCTTATGATGAAGCAAGGGACTTCGTCTCACAAAGATGCTTTGACTGGCTTAGAGAGAAAGATCAACTAAGAGCAGAAATGAAAGCTGGTAAAGTTTTCCAAGGGATGCGTGAAGCAATCATCAAATTTCCTCCAACTTACAAGTTTGACAAGGGGAAACCAGGATTAGGAGGTGAGGTATATTTGTAATGATTATAACATGTGACTCAACATATTACTTTCTTACACTGCGCCAAATATTACTCCTTCCGTTTCAATTTGTTTGTCTTGTTTTCCTTTTTAGTCCGTTTAAAAAAGAATGTTTCTTCCCTTTTTTGCCAACTTTCCACATGGCATGTTTAGGACCACAAGATTCAAAAAATTTCTTTATTTTCTTGAATTCAGTGTCAAGTCAAAACCAGACAAATAAATTGAAACGGATGGAGTAGTTAAACTGTCGATAGTGTTCTTATGATAAAGATATGTCCAAGGACCAGTTTAAGATTTCCCTTTTGGATTGTTGTATTGCTTAATGCATGAAATGTCAAAAAGCACTGAAAGACATTTTTGCTTTCCACTTTAGGATATGATTCTGGGGAGAAGAAACGAATTCCAGCCTGGTGTGACAGAGTGCTATATCGAGATAGCCGGGCAGCTCCTTCAATGCCGTGCAGTTTAGGGAGCCCTGTAGCTGCTTCCATTTTACAGTAGGATTTCTCAGGGCTTTCTTCAAGTAAGTCTTTCTTGGTCCATGTAGAAACTGATTTCACTTATGTGATAGGTACGATGCTTGCACGGAAGTAACAGATAGTGATCACAAGCCTGTGCGGTGCAAATTTAGTGTTGAAGTTTCCTGTGTTGATAGATCAGTAAGGAGACGAGAGTTTGGGAAGATCTTCCAGTATAATGATAAAATCAGGTCTATACTGGAAGAACTGTATTATATACCTGAAGTAACCGTCAGTACCAGCCAGATATTTCTTCAGAATCAAGAAACATTCAGCTTAATAATTACCAACAGAAGTACTAGACAGGATAATGTTTTTTTCCAAATCACTTGCCAATATCAATCAACTGTCGACAAGAACAAGCAAACATCAGGCTATCGTCCCAGAGATTCCTTTTGCTTTCCCCGTTGGCTTAAGGTAATTTCCAGGTCTATGGATCATTAAACTCTTATTCAATGGTTGGATTGGATGTTCCTTTTCTCATCATAAAATGGATTAAGGCGAAATTTCGTTTGTACAGTACATCATGTAGTAGCGAGTCTGTGAACGATGCAAAAAGCATATGCTTAACTTCAAGAGTCAGAGTTCACAATACTATACTTTCTTTACTAAAATAGAAAATTAGCATGTTATACTTCTCTGTACTGAAAGTAGACCTCTTCTGCAAGCAAGGCCATCTTATAATTTCATCTGATTCAGGTCACACCTGCGGCTGGCATGATCAAATCTGGTGAAGATGAAGAGATCTTGGTACATCAGGAAGAGTTCCGTAATTCAGAAAATATTCCTGAAGTTATGTCACCAAGAAAATGGTCTGAGGAAACAAGAGAAGAAGAGGTGATTTTAATGATCAATGTGAAATCTAGTGGCTCAACGAAGGTAAGAACACATCATGTACACCTGAGCTGCCGTTTCTCAACTGATGCAGTATGCATGTTATCAAGAAACAGTTCCACCAGAAATGAAGGGAGCTCCCATCACAGGTCAAACAGTTCCAGAAGAAATGAAGGAAACACTTATCAGAGGTCAAATAGTTCCATAAGAAATGAAGGGAGCTCCCACCACAGGTCTTCTCTTCAACAGGAGAGCGTGTCAAACGGTTCCAGAAGAAATGAAGGGAGCTCCCACCCCAGATCTTCTCTTCAACAGGAGAGTACCTCTGACATGAATAAATATAAATGACCATCAAGGCTTTCTGGTACCTGGTATCTGCATGAAAGCCTATAAACCTAAAGAAAACAAGGTTCTCCCCCCCTCCCCCCCCACTCAAACTTGGGGTACGGGAAGGGGATTACAAGGTGGAAAATCAAACCCTCACTTACAAAGTGAAAGTTCAGGTAGCCAACGAACTGAGCTACTAAGATTCCCCGACAAGAGGATTCAAAGATAATGTTCTGATGTAAAATTATGGATTCCCTTTGCTGAGAATGTATGGTAGGTCTTGATGTATATACTCGTAGACGATTAACGTTGGAATAATCCAGCTCAGAAATCTGGATATAGAGCATCAATTTGCTCTTCTATTTTTTCACTAGAATTGTGTTCATTAGTAAGCAGTTTGTTCTTCACCAAAAAAACTTGCTTGTAGAAATGCAGAATTCTTTATTGTGCATTCCTTTTTTCTTAACTAAACTGTTCCCTTTCGTTTTAGATACATTCATCGAAAAGCCAGTGTGGGAGTTTCTTGCCCTGCATGTATGCATGCCAATGCACATAAATAATGCTGGATATGTATTGATTCTGGTACCTCATTGGAATTACCACGTCGCGTCTAAAATCAAGATGTTCTGGATGGAGAAGAAAAAACAAAGTTGTGCTCGATACTCTTAGGCATAATACATAAACATACACTCATACTTGACTTCAGCTCGCAAATAAACACTCCAATTTTGAGTATGCACATCTAGACACCTCCAAAATTTATTTGCCATGTCAACGTCAGGTGTCCACGAGACACAGTGAGGAAGAGTTGGAATGTTTAGTTGTCAGTTGAGATCAAATTGAGGTGTCTAGATGTGCACTCTCAAAGTTGGAGTGCTTACTTGTCAGCCGAGGTTAAGTTTGAATGTCTGTTTACGAGCTCAACTTTCATAGAACTCTCTTTCTCAGGTTTTTTTTCTTCATGTTGGCAGAATTCTAACAAATGATGGCAGCTGAAAAAGATGGAACTTCCATGATGATGGAAAAAAAAGCTATCATAAAGTATACAATGACACCATTTTGTTTGATGAACTTAGAAGTTGATCAGGTATATAGGCATAAAAATAAATAGCAGCCATCCCCACATTCTTGTCACCAAGTTGCAATCTATGTACACTAATGCTTCATTTTGAACTTCCAAGAAAGATGCTGCAGCGACTGATATCGCTCCGATATTATTGTCAATCTATTGAAACTTTCTACTCATTTGTTCCTGAACAGTATAGATCCCTTCCATACTTTCACCATTCTAAATTTGATCCCATGTCAGTGTTGTTGAACTTCATGGTTGAGAATTACATATAATCGCTTGTAGTTTCAGTTACCGAGCTCTGCATTTGATGCCATAGGCAGACATCTGCCTGATTATTCTACCTATACTGCATACATCCTCTTGTAGTTCTCACTGCATAGCTCTGGATCTGATGCCACAGACAATGGGAAAGAACGTGAATTAGTCTCAGTTCTTCGAATGCTCCTCAACCTCGATTCTTCTAGCCTATGTTGAACCACACAATAGCACATGGAGCCAAATGTAGTGAGCATTATTATGCAACCAACCACAGTTGCATACACAGCAAGCCATCTTTCCTTAGCTCCAACTACCACATAACTAAGAGAGATAAAGGCGACTGAGATGAAGAGACAAGCTGCCCACATTAGCTTGTTTATCCAAAACATGAGTCGTTTCTTTGCTTTCTGTTCAATCACGACAATAGACGTCTGGACCACAACAACAGCAACTGAAATGAACAATGCCATACTGTCAAACAAGAAGAAGATTATGAATGCTGCTTTTCTCCCTATGTGTGCTTCTCCAAGCGAAAATCCATCTGTTTTCTTTTCAACATATTGCCCAGGTACAGTGAAGATGGCAGCAAAAGCAACAGTAGCAATAAGGACAGCAACAACTGTTGCATTGTTGATGGCGTTGTTAAGACCACTAATGTGGAGCTTCTTCACCTTCATTGCAATTTTTCGTACTTTGAAGCCAGTCTGCCGACTCTGTTGGAGCTGGGAGTGCACATCATGTTTTATGTCACTGACAGACTGCTTTAGCTGCTTTGCAGGACCGGGTGGCTTCCCATGATCTTTGGAATGGGTAGCTCCGGCTTCTTTCAAAATAGAAACAAGCTCCGGAGTTCCGAACTTTTCTGCAATATCTAGAACTGTTTCTCCAGCCTTATTAAGGGTGTTAAGATCAATGCCCTCAATTGATATAAGACATTGTACCATCTGCAATTACACATAGCATAGTGTTACAAAGGATGCTGAGTTTTCTTGATTGAACATGTAAAAAAAAACATTGTACCATCTGCAAGTACATATAGAAGAAAGCGCCCAAGGGTGTCGCCTAGTGGTCTATTTCCAACTTCTTCATTAAGTCATGAATGAAGTACTCCTTTTTGGTTTCTCTTGTGTCAAAACACAATCATAAAATAAACTACTTCTGAATAAGGACCAAAAAGATGGTACATTTACAAAGAATGCAGTTTATGTGTGTTAAAATTTCTATATAAAATTAAAAGTAACAGACGCTGACCATATCCCTGCAAATCATAGAATGAAATCAGACCTCATGAGGGAGGACACGATACATGATACTAAAAGATAAAGTGTTTCTGAATGTTCCTTCTCTCCAGGTACATAACTGTCCAGAAAGGACATTGGAACTTATCAGTAAGTCATTTCAATAACCATTTCGTGGCACGACAATGAACTCACCCTTGGCCTGCCCACAATCCCTCAAATTTGTGATTTCCATCTTGATTTTACCAAATAAACAGTATTCCCTTGATCTACCAGCATTTTTCATCAAGATATATAACACATCCCACATTGCCTCACACATAAAACAAATCTCAAGTTTACGGAAGATGCTTTACAAGAAAAAACAGTTTAAACAAACAAACCTGTATCCGTCCCTTTCTTGTTGCAATATGAAGTGCTGTGTTTCCTTTGTTATCTTCCAAGGCCAAAACAGCAGGATTTGGTTTGATTAATTCGAGCACGATGTCAACATTTTGTCCCTTTGCAGCCATGTGCAAGGCAGTCTGGCCTTTTTTATCTGTTCTAAAGCCAATCTCAGGATCCTTGCTAAGAAGGGATCTAACTATCTCCAAGTGTCCCATTCTTGCTGCTGTATGGAGCACAGTCTTTCCGTTGTTCCGAGCTATCTTAGCAAGGTTAGAATCAATCTCCAGAAGCATATTTACTACATAAATATGTCCCTGTGCAGCTGCGGTATGTAACGCCGTAGAATTGGACGAATCTGTGGTCATGACTAAGTTTGGAAAGGAATGCAGCAGTTCCTGTAGTACATCTGCAATTTTATACAAAAAAGTGTTTGCAAGTGCAAGTAAGAAAGGAACATACTGAATTCATGTTTAACAAGTATCCACAATAAGCTTGAAATAACAATAATACTCCCTCCGTCCCAATTTAAGTGTTTTACTTTCCCTTTTGGTTTGTTCCAAAAATACCATCTCTTTCTTAAACTTCGTGCCCAATCAAACTAAGACACTTAAACTGGGACGGAGAGAGTAAATCAAGACTTGACCATAAAGTTTCTTTTTTATGGTCACCACAAACATATAAGCTCTAATGTGATCGAGTTACACAGGTTGTGTTAGGATCGATGTTCCAGTTGATTTTTGCAGTTTGACAAAACAACCCTCAACGACATAATTGAGACTACATGGAGAAATGTACTAAAGAAAATACAACGATTTATGTGGTTCGATCATCAGACATGTCCACAGACGGATAGAAATTTGATTCTGGAAACTAAGATCTAGGATAGAAATTGCAGACTCTAGTCACCATCAGTATAGGGTCAGCCTCAGCCTGGTGCACTAAAGCTCCTGCTATGCACGGAGTCCGGAGAAGGGCAAGACCACAAGGGTCTATTGTATGCAACCTTACCCTACATTTCTTCAAGAGATTGTTTCCACGGCTTGAACCCTGGCCACATGGCAGCAACTTTACCAGTTACGCCAAGACTCCCCTTCCGTTACCATCACTATTAGCAGTAATAAAATTTCATGTGAAGCATCATCTCATTCATGAAGTTCACATTTTACTGGTAAATCTGGAAAGATACTCTGAGAACCACATGTAATATCAAAACTGAATTGAGATGCGAAAGAATCTACATTCTCTATGCCCTAAATTATCCTAATTAGATTTTTCAAGAATCGAAGTCGATTTGCTTTATAATAAATAGGGAACTCACCAAGATGACCCTGCCTTGCTGCAACATGAAGTGTATCATAACCATTATTTGCCACAATAGAAGCGATTTCAAGGTCTAAATGTTTCAAGAACTCTGCAACAACCAAACTATGACCATTCTCAGCAGAAACATATAAAGCAGTCTCACCCTCTTGGTTTTGCTGACATAACAAGTCTTTTATGCCTTTTTCATCAAACTTCTGAATAATTTCTTTCACCTTTCCGAAATTTCCAGCTCTAGCTGCAAGATGCAATGGGGAATCCCCTCGTTTCCCCGGTGAATCCTTACCCCTTTTCCTCTCACCACCAAAACTCATTTGCCTCTCCATTGCTATCCTAAAACTTTTCTGTTTTTCCATTATTCCTCTAAAGCTCTTCTGCTTCTCCATCGCTCCATTTCGAAAACTTTGCTGTTTTTCCATTGTTGCACCCTGGAAACTAACCTGTTTCTCCATGATCATAAAGAATTCAACCCCCAAAATCCTAATGGATTTCTTGTTTATTAGACCAAAAATAGCAACTTTTTCCACTTTCAAGAACTACAAAGATTGAAACTTTTCATCATTATCAATTCAACTTGGAAAGGGATATATTAAGATACAACAATAACAACAACATACCCGCGAAATTCCACAAGTGGGGTATAGGGAGAATAGAGTGTAGGCAGACCTTATCACTATCTCGTGGAGGTAGCTGTTTCTGAGAGATGAAAGATCCTCAGCTCGAGTGCAGCAAATTCAAGTACAAAGGGATATACTAAGATACCAAAAATTATCACCTTCCCCACATTTCTAGCTAAGAATCTATAAAAACCCCTGGCCCAACAAAATTTGAAGCAAATTTAAAGAACCCTTTATACTATTAAGTCTTGGAGCTATCTACCAAATCACAAGTCCAGAAAGAAACAATCTTTTCAGTGAACTTACAGAACTCAAAAGCATATCAAGAATTCAAATCAGACAAAAAAAGAACCAATTTTTCAACAAATATAGAGCTCAAACTTCACTTTTGATGAAACCCCAAAAGCTAAAAATCAGATGAAATCTTGAAAACCCCCCAAAAAATATCAAGAACAGGAAACACAAGTAAAAACAAAAGAGCAGTATAAGCAACAAAAGGGTCACTGAATCCAATGGTTTTGCCCACTTTTTGTTTTTGTCAGGCTCTTTTAAAGTTGAAGTATTTACTAATACTAAAATTCCCATATGAAACAAATCAACAGAAAAAACACTCCTTTTTTACTTAAAGAGGCTTACTTGTTCAAACATTCTGTTTTATCGCTTGTGTAGCTTAGTGATCAATGAAATAATCAAGAACTATGATGTTTTGATTTGGCACGAACCAAGATATTATTTAGTCTTGTGTCTTAAACACGTCAGGTAGAAAGTTGAATTAAAAGTTATCAACAAAGTAAAAAGTATAATAAATATCTCATAAAATTAATTAAGATGCGTGGAAGCTGACTCAGATATCACAATTAATGAAAAAAGGGCAAGTTGTTGGTCTCTGTTGATGTTATCTGTTAACATCAAAACGTGCACTAAAAGACAGAGATTACATTATATACAGCAGTGGGGGGCCATTGGCCATTGTTATATTGCTATATTCTTATGCAAGCTCATGAGTCATGAGATGATAAGATAATTGGTGGGGCCCCATCCTATATGTTGGGTCCCACAATGTGACACAAGAGAGTAGAAGAGTACCTAACATTTGAAGGGATAATAACCGATCAGGATTGTGATGGAGTGGTACATTCTTAACTAGAGCTTTCATGTTCGAATTTTCCGTGCTTTATCCTCCTCTACGTGGAATTTTTTAGCGCAAATATGAATTTAGTTAGATTTCAATATAGATACTCGACATCTTATTATCAATCAATAAATATCATAAGGCAATTATTTATTTATTTTTCTTCGAAATTCTCATCTTATTGTTTCCGTGTAACTCGAACTCAAGATGGTGTCATGTGAGGCAAAAATAGTGAAAAATATGGTAAATTATAATTATCGATCAATTCGTTACTATAATTCTCTCGATAATCAAAATGTACAGAATTTTAGGAGGCACATTCTGACACGCCTGAATGTAAGCATGTCTTTTCTTGGATTATTGAAAAGATTCCCACTTCTTTGGTAAAAAAATAATGTTGGGCTAGAATAGTTTTCAACTTTTTTTTTTATTATATAGTGTGATGTTATTTATTTATGGTTAAGTTTGTAATTTAAAGTTTCATTGCACTATATATGTAACTTTTTTTCAACTGTCAATAGGGAATTTTGTTCGACACCCAACAATTTTTTTTATTTATTAAAGTTCCACCTGACATATCATGCATGAGCTTATATGGGACAAATTGTGTATCATAAATCCATCTACTGAGTATTTATGATCACCAAAGTTTTTTTATATGTGTCTCTAAAGCTACGAGTAAAGATAGTAAATCTACACGAGTAACACTAAGTTGAATCCCTAGCCATTACTTTGTCATAGTCATACTTATATGTTGAATAATTGATTTTAATACTATTTGTCCATCGTACCAAACAACCTTGCAAAAATATACCAATTGTCTATACTAATAATTACATATTAAGTCCTTTTATTTAGTGTTTTATAACATCAAGACAAAGACACCGACCCTCGTGGAACTAATTTCAGTTTGACAAGTTTTACAGAATTTTGGAGTCCCATTCTGACATGCCTGTCCTTTTATCAAAATGATTCCTCTACTTTTTTTTTGGTAAATATTTTACTTTCTTTCTTTATGTTTATTTCTATAAATAAAATTATATGAGTCGTCTAAACTTTAACCTTTATTTTTTTTTTTCATATCCTAAAAGAAAGTAAATTCGTGTTTTGCTTCCTCGAATTGAAGTAAAAAACGGAGATCTTTCCAATCAGAAAGCTCCAAAAATGATACAAAAGAAACTCCAAAGATGACACAAAAGGCAAATCTTTTATTGTTACGATTGTTGAGGTTCTTAATTATCCAAATAACTATGAAACTCGTCCACAGGAGAATCAATAATATTTCCCCTTCTAGAATGACTCAATTATTAATGACTATAAGATCGTTATAAGTTGATGATGACAACGCGTTAAAAAGTGATTCCTAAAAAAATGATAGACACCCTCCTGACATCCACCCTTTGTTGTGTGGTATGGACCTCTTTGGCTTTTACACATGGAATATTACATTTGCTTGGTCAGTCACTAAATTATTGGTTTTGCATGGATTGTCCCTATTTTGGGATAGTACAAATTTGTGGACCATTGTTCTATTATTTATATGATAAAGTTCAAAATATATGTTTTTCTAAAAAGAAAAATTGCCAACAGTAATAATTTTTGTAAAGAATCCATTCCAATACTAATCTGTCAAACCACATTTCAAGTAATAATTCTAGACTCTCCAATCAATAATGGGTTACCAAATAGTATCAATCATGGGCATCTAGATTAGATTTAAACATCACTAGAGCAGCAATAACAAGATTTTGTGTTTTCATAGCCTAGAAATCTCTGAAGGCCAACAGAGCACGATTCATACGAGGTAGATAATGAGTCCGTCCCTCTACTCTTCTTCTGCCTTTCTTCGCTTAAATACAAAGCTTTTGAGCCTCGCGCAGAACTGGAAGGTGTTACATGCGTCAAATCCACATATCATGCACTCATTCTAATTGCTGAATCAAAGTTCTGGGGACAACAATAACAGGACCTGTCGTCCAAGCTGGGGCCAACAGCTACAAGCAATCAAGCTTTTCGCGATGAACTTCATTCAAGGGACTTACTTAGTTAGACCATTCTTGCACCACATTACAGCATCATCCGGGTTTGGGACCATGAAAATTGCATGTGTGACCCCGGCATTAGACTAAATATAGACAGCAGAAAAAAACTGGATTCTCTGGTGAATCTCCTGCCCTTCTAGACCAAGCTAATTACCGACTCTTGAGCCACAAATATCAATGTTAAGGAGACCGAAATGGAAAACCTTAGCAATCAATGCAAATGCCAGTTACATAGAGGATGTACTCTTATCGATCCTTTCCTTGATAGATATAACCAGCTCAGCTTCAAAGTTTGCTATTTCCAAGATGGCCTAAATCTGCAAGGAAATCATAAGAAACAAACATGTGGAAAATGAGCACATAGTTGCCTATATGGACAAATGAAGCCTATAACTCTTAACCCTCATACAAACTAAACCACACAGTACAGAAATGGACTGCTATAGGACTAAACCACATGCATATTAGCAAAGCATTTTCCCAACAGAAAAAAAGATCAATACTCCGTAACACGTCAATGAAGCATCTAATGAACCAAAGTTATGTGTGGTATAATTACTTTGTAGATAAAGGAACCATCGGAAGTAGATTGCATTTTCCGTCTGCAAATTGTCGCAGTTGTGCAATTATCCAATATAATCAGTGCTGTACCAGAATATCATCTTTGTCATCCCACCTTTTGACAACCTTTAGAGTAAGCAAGCTGGTTTTTGAAGTCAAACAAATAATTCAAAGCAAATGTCAGTTGAAAAATTTCAGCTTTTCCAATTTTACATTCCTTCTTGTATAGATTAAGAAGTCGTTTTGTAGAGTGTATTAGGAAAAATAATGCATGTGTATTACTAATACCTTGTTTGGTACTCTTTTTCAACCTATGTATAACTAATGCAACTCTATTGTGTATTACTAATACCATGGATTTCTAGGTATTAGTAATGCAATGGTTTTAATGCATGAATTAGCATGGTTAAAGACTCTATTGCCCCTTAAAACCTTTTTTACTACATCTGCCAGAAAAAAAACATATAAAACATGAGAGGAAGTGAGTATGATGTGTTTAATGTAGATAGTGAAGCTTATAAGTCTATCAAAAGCATATTACCTAGGTTGTTATCATACTCAACTGTACTCCATTCCCAACTACCAATAATCTCCGCAAGAACAAATACCGTCCTGAAAATGATGGTACCGGATTGGATCTCTTATGACAATGCTTCGACGCTCTATCTGTGCCAAAAGTTTCACAAATAAATGACAATCTCCACATATCCTGAGATTTTTCCTGATTCTAATGGTCTTCTCTCTAGACAGGCTCAGTACACCAAAGGCAACAGCTATTTTCTCACTGTGGTACAGAAGTGAGTCTTCCATCTGTTCATCTTCAAGATCTTGCAAGACAAAGTTTGTGTCTGGAACATATCCCACCTCCTTTAATCTCCAAATAATCTGATTTAGCTCTTTGTTAATTTCCTCCTTTTGTGGATGTGAGTTGTCTCCCATTATAAAAGCATGGATTTGTTTGTTTACTTCAATCCAGCTGCATCCCGGTTCCTTCTTCACTCCTCTTTCCTTCATGGACCTTCTCAAGTCCGTAACGTCTTCCCATTTTTGAGTACGCGCATATATGTTAGATAGTAATATGTAAGTTCCCGCATCACTTGGATCCAGCTTTATAATTTGTTTGGCAGCATACTCAGCTAAATCCATGTTACGATGTACTCTGCAGGCACCAAGCAATGTTCTCCATGTCACTGCATCTGGTTCACATTCCATTTCACGGATTAGTTTCACCGCTTCATCTAGCTTTCCAGATCTTCCAAG